GAAAGTAAGCAGGGGGTTAGCCCAAGGCAGGAAAGCGGAGCCACCAATAGAAAGGATCCAGCGAGATGTACTTGTCACACACACGCACACAAAATCTACCGGAAATTGGTGTGTGTATTATATGTGGGAAATACAATAAGAGCAATTTCTGACACTTACTGGGCAAAAGTAAAAATAAAATGTACATGTGACAGATGCAGGACAATGAGCAGATTCAGGTTCAGCTCCCTAGCTACTGCTACTCAGTTATTTTTTAAAAGGAAACATCTTTTTTTTTCTTCATTCTGCCTTTCAAAAAAAAGATGCATATCTTATTCAATGGTATGTTGTATGTGAGAAAAATATGGTAGCATAGTAGAAGTTTACTCCTTCCCTAGAGATCTTCAAGAGGAGACTGGATAGGCACCTGGCTGGGGTCTTATGACCCCTGCCACCCCCAGTGCTCCTTCCTGCCCATGGCAAGGGGTCGCACTAGATGATCTGTGTAGGTCCCTTCCCACTCAGTGATTCTATGATTCTATGATTCTAGATGGCCTCCTGAGGTCCCTTCTAGGCCTCATTTTCTATGATTCTATGAACAAATTAGACCAAGGAGGACTAAGCCATTTAACATTGCTTGGCAGTTTCCAGAGAACATTTAGCAAACACCATTTCTTCTGCCTTAGCAAAGAAAGCAAGGGGAAAAATCATCAAAATGAGTGAAACACTGGGGGAGGCTAACCCATTTGTACTTAAGTTCACAAAGGAACATTTGCTACTTACCTGGTGGTCTCCTGTCAGACAGTCAATCTCAACTTCAGAACAAGCAACTCCAAAAATAAAATATGGAAAAGCGTGGCCTTCCCCCTTTTCCCAGTTCATATATGTAATGTAGCCTCTGGTGGAAACAAGACCATCCTTCAGACTGAGTGAACAATAACATTCTAGATATATTACCTCCTCCCTTCTTACAAGACAGCACATTGCCATGTAAATCACATAACAGCAATTGGTTAATGATCTGCTGGCAGTTGTCTATTTTCACAGTATTTCCCCAGGTGAAGAAGACCCCGAATGTTGTATTGCTGTTGTCTGTTGTCCATGGCAGCAGAAGGGGGAGGGGGACAGAGGGCAGGAGCCTGTGTGGAGGCAAAGACTTATGGGTGCCACAGAGCACAGCTCCTTGTAGGGTCCCTGTGCCCAATTGTGGCAGAGATGGGAGGCTGGAAAAAGTACATGAACCCACACAAACACCTCACATGGCAGTAGCAGCTACTTAGTATGTCTCAGAGGGAGACACCTTTCCTGTACTGGAGTCTAATTTCCCCAGCAGACAGCTTCTTTACTGGGCTCTGTACTGTGTCCAGAATTTAGCATTCAGCATAGGAGGAAAAGGAGACAGGAAAAGGATTAGAGAGGGTACATGGGGAGAATTTCATCTTTGCTGGTCCCATAATCTGGGCCCATAACTGTGATCCTTGATGCCAGGAATTTCAGGCAGACTGGGGAGCGTTCCTTACTTGAAATAGCCAGTAGCCGAGAGACTGATGCTTTCCTGGAAAGCTTCCTTAATCTGCAATGGACATATTTATTATCATACAAATAAGCATTTCTGAGAAGCAAATGATTTTTTTTATATGAAAACAATAAGAACAAACAAGTCAGGGAGCCGAAAGCTAAAACCTTCCCATTCCTTCTGCAGCTGAGGAATGACACAAGACAGCTGCCCAAGAGGCATCACGGTTGGTTTCCCTAGACTGGCAGTCATTGTCTGCCTTGGCATAAATAGGTCAATTGTAGTTCAGCATAGTTACAGATGTGCAGGGCTTCTAATACACATCAGGCCTAACTGACCTGCTATGGTCACAGAGGGTGCCTAGACACGTGCTGCTTCACGTTCTAATTAGAACATGTTGGAGCAGATTTGATTAATCTGCTGTCTGCTTTGCATTCTAATTTTTGCATCATGTGTATTAAGCCCCCACACATTTTAAAATGGCCATGGGGTGCTTTAGATAAACCTTGCCGAACAAGTTTAGATAAAGCATCCCATGGCCATTTTTAAACACACAGGGGCTTACTACACGTGACATTATGGTGTTTTAATTAGAGTGGCGGCCTGAGCACTGCTCTAATTAAAAGACACCCAACCCATCTCCAAGCACATGTATAGGCAGCCAAAGGGAGTCAGAGCAAGAGAACCCAGGAACTGTTTGCTCCCATTTCTCTGCACCCCCCAACTAGATCACAGGCTGGCTTTACTGCACTTCTTGCTTTTCTGCAGAAAAGAATTGGAAATATTTACACATTTTACAAAATGTACACATGATACAAAATAATCCTATTGATTTCAACATCATGGCTAATTCACGGATTAAAATGCATTGGTGCATTATGAACCAATTCTGGAACCAGCTTCCAAGAGAAGTGGTGCTGGCTCCTACCCTCGGGGTCTTTAAGAGGAGGTTAGATGTACACCTTGCTGGGGTCGTTTGACCCCAGTGCTCTTTCCTGCCATGGCAGGGGGTCAGACTAGATGATCTACTCAGGTCCCTTTCGACCCTAGAAATTATGAAACTATGATCTATTTCAAACCAAGGAGATAAGATGAAGAAACCTCTCTGAATATGCATTCTTTAGCTTGCAAGTCCTGTCAGGTATGCACTGCCTCTTTTCTATGATTGTACAGCACCCAGCAGGATGAGGAATTCTAGGCATTTCTGCAATATAAATAATTTCCCAGCTATTCTTAGTAATATTTTAGAGCCTGAACAAGTATGAAGAACCAATTACCTTTCCACAGAGAGAGAAGTGGGATTTTATAGGCATTTGTGTTCAGTGAGCACTGATACATGGGGCAAATACTTGGCACTTGCTGAAGAAAATAAAGCTGATGAAGTTAACCGGCATGGAAAGGCAGGTGAAAAACAACTTAGAGATGCCTCAAACCCTATGACAAAACTAATGTAGTGATATACCGGGAGTCATTGCAGGAAGGGAGAAAGCTCATCACACATGGTGTAATGGAAGCTGAGGCAGATGCATCCATAGCACCATCAAGAATTATGGAGAGAAAAACCAATACCTTGCCCAGACTTAACTAGCGAAGGCTACCCAAAGGGGAAAAGTACTTTGGATGATAGCTCACTAGTGAGGCCTGCCTTTGGCAGTGAACAGAATGATGGCGGCAGGGTTCAAAATGCTCTGAATCCATGTGGATGATAACAGCATTGGAGCGTTTAGGAGCCATCAGCATATAACAATATATCTATTAACAAGTGTTTTATTTTTGCTGCCTGGAACAGAACAATTTTCACAGGGTTATGCCTATGCAGAAAGGCTGTCTCAGATGCCACCACTTCCTTTCCAATAATGTTGTATCGCCTCCTTCTCCAGAAGGTATTTCTGATAAGTACTGAACAGCTGATGCATCCATGTTGCTGGAGTCAGATGACAGTCCAGCATCCATCCCTGTCCAACAGTGGACCTGTCTAGCCCTGGACCCACCCTGGGTATGTAAGAAATGGCACAAGGACACCTCACACAAAAACAGTTTCAAGACCTGGCCAGTCCTGCTGGGGGATCAGCTTGTGCAGCCCCTACGGAGGCACAACCCCTACCCACGGTGCCCCGGGGCACTGCAGTTCCACACTGGGCTGGGGCTAAATACCACTGGTTCATCCATGGAGTTATCAGGCCTGTAGGAAGATAAACAAGCAGCACTAACCCAGTCCTCCCATTTGCCTTCAGGATTCTTCTGAACGATGGGTTCCAGGCGCTTCCGAAGAATCTGACAAGCATCCTGGGGAGGAGACAAATAGAGAACAATGAATAGAGCCAAGGGGATGAATCCAGCAACAGTGAGCTCTGATTTGTGAGAGAGATTCATTCTGATGATGATCTTTCTGCTCCTCCCCCTGAACATCTAATCCCACCTTTCTTGCCTTCCAGCTGGACAGCACAAAGGCAGCACTTACCAGGGACCAGTAGTGGCATCTGCTCTGGTGTAACTGAGCTATATTCACACCACTGTACAACTGAAACCATCTCCAAAGAGAAGATAGAGAGCCTGGCTCTTGTTTTTGTTTTTTGTACACTGGATTGAACACCACTAGATCTGCATGATGCATACCTTGTTTGCGGCAGTGTAAGTAAAAACAAGATATATGTGGAAGAGGTGTAAACACTCAGAGCAATATTAGTTATTTGAAAGAAACAACAACAATGATTATTCATAATAAATGTGACCTGGACTGCTTTTCCATTGGTTTCTGATCCAACTGATCCTGCTGTGATTAATGCGTTAGGTACAGTTGTTGTACTTGTTTCACACAAGTGTATGTATGACAGTGGTACCTTTAATTCACGGCTGGCAACCTGTACGGGAAATAAACAAAAAGGCATCTGGTCCCTCAGAGGTGTACAGAATTGGCAGAAGTCAAGACAATATATAATGTTTATGTGAATCTAAGACGAATCTCCCCCCTGTCAGCATGGGGAGGAAAGGACCCTTATCTTAGATTCGTGCACAAAGTAAGGGTCGGGGCAGGTGGCCATTGTGGCTCTGACTGACCCTGAGCCCAGGTCAGGCCACAGTCAGACTCACAGCAGCCTCTTGCCCTGCAACCTTCCCTCTGCAGCTTCTTCCTTCTCCTCCGGCCCTTTCCCCCACCTTACTGTCAGGCATAGCTCCGCTCTGGCTGGGACCAGGTTTCCTCCAGGCATGTAGCACATGGACACTGTGTCCTGCCCAGCCAATCAGCGGCTCTCACCCTGATGCATGGCTCAGCAAGGGCTGTGCTTCCTCATGCTGTGCTCCAGCTGATAGGGGGAGTGGCAGGGAGAGGCACAGACTGCAGAGAGGAGGGGGAAGGGACAAAGATCATGGGGAGTGGGGGAGAGGGGCAGAGGTGCTAGGAAGCTGGGGTTGGGGCCTGCCACTGGTAAGGGGGCAGGAAAGCTGCAGGGGAAGAAGTGGGAGTGGTAGAGGGCGAGTGGACCACCTGACACCCCAGTCACTATTTCCCTTGCTGTAGCAGTGCCGGGGTACAAATTTAAGACAACCTTCCAGTAATTAGATTCTATATCTGGAAAATTATAACACATTTATACATTTTCCATATATATAATCTAACTACTGGGGGGCCTCCTTAAATTCAAGGTTATCTTAGATTTGAGTAAATACAGTGAAAAGTGTTGCCATTTGTACACACACACACACACACACACACACACACACACACACACACACACACACACACACACACACACACACACGTTAAGTTGTTTATATGCCCAGTGTACAATGCTGCACCACATTCTGGTAGTCATACTTCTCATGTTTGCCACATGGAAGTTCCCAAATTATTTATATGCCATATAAACATGGCAACTCCATAATTCTTAGTGTTTATAATATTCGCATAACATGCAGAATCAAGGGACTGATGTTAGATATGTTTGTTACACTAAAGAAATTAATCCCACAGGCACTTGGACCTTAGAAACATTCATAGCAGTGATGCAGGTACCTCCATTTTTTAATAGGCTCAGCTCCCCTGAGTTCTCAAAAGAATATATAGATTGTGAGCTAGTTTCTAGACAAATCTTTACCCCACTCCTGAAATTTGGTCTCTTGGGTAAATCAGGAGCAGTGACACAGTACTCCCTTCAGCCTCAGATTCCCCACTACCATGGCTGTCCCTAGATTTTCCATACAGGACCTCAGCTTCTCAGCTGATGCCATGGCATGAATATTTTTCTGGTTTTTGTTCTGTCTACAGTCAAATGGTTAATTCCTGTCCTACCTGTAGCATCTTGGTGTGAATTCCTTGTCCCAATTCAACTCCACCATGAGTCACCAGCACTGACCCATCTGTATAGATATGCACCAGAGCTGCAGCCTAAAGAAAGGTAACAGAAACTGGTTGAATCGTCTTAATCCATTAAGGCTGATGTTAAATGTACCAAAAGGAGAAAGAAAGGGGCCAGTTTTGTACCCCTGAGAGTACAGAAATCAGCATATTATTAATTCAGAGGTGGGTTAGGGGTGCGTGTTAGATACCTGACATAAGAAATCTTCTTTGGCAGTTAGCAATTTGGGAAGAGGGGCTGTCTAGTTAGGTTGCTTGTTGTGAACTGGAGTTCCGCGAGTATTGCAACAATTAATTTCAACAAGCAGTTATTTTCTTTTTCCTGTGAGATTGGGTGAATGGGTCATGTTATCCAGTTTCTTGTGGTGACATGATTAGAATCAGGTACTGCTCCCTCCTTGCCCCAGTAAGAACATGAGATGGCAGTGTTTGATGCTGGATTGCCAGTCCTTGTGCGCGTCAGGCAATGTAAACGTACTTCTTTTACTTTGGGGGTTTTTTATAAGCGAATGATGTTGCCTTCTCTTGGCTGGCCCAAAAAAAAAAGAATAAACCACCTAAAGAACTAGTTACAGAAGTTCTTTAGATAAAGTCTTAAGTGCCTCTGTTTTGAATTCAGAGCAGGGGTGACATGTAGGGGGGTGCATATGGGTGCACTGCTCAGCACCGTGATCGCTTGTGGCCGCTGCCACCAGCAGCGCCTGTGGGTGGTCGCTGTCCTGTGGTCAGCGCTCACCACCCCCAACCCCCAGCTGCTGACAGTGCCAGTGGTGTCTGCAGGAGCTCCCCGTTCACCGCTGCCGGGCTTCTGCTGCCACCAGCGCACTCCTGCTGCCAGCGGCACAGTCGTGCAGCCGCAAGGGGCAGAGGATACAGATACTAGTCCTAACTTGCTGTGAGAGAGTGAGAGTTAGTGTGCAAGTTTCCCCATGATTTATGTTGTGATTGAGTCTGTCGTCTGCAGCACACAGATTTGCTACAAACTGATGTGACTCTGGTCACTGTGTGTTCATTCTTGATAGGCAAATGACAGCTGCTTCTGCATGCTCGATCCTCAATAAGTTTCATACGCTTCTTTTCCCCTACCTTTCCTCCCCTCCTTTTCTGCCCTTTGTCTCCCTGATTTCTTACTATTTCCTTCTTTATTGAAAGCCTCTTTCTTATCCTTTATTATTATATCTGTAATGTTTCCATTTGGCCTCCCCCCCCGCTTTACCTTTTGTTTCTCCTTTCTACCTGTTTATGCTTTCACTACATCCTCTCACACTTTTAGATTCTCTCATTCCTGTTTTCCTGATCTCCAACTATGTTCTTTTTCACTGACAGCCTCTTTTCCACCTTGTATTTTATCACTGTAATGTCTCCCTTTAGCCATTTTTCCTTTTCTTTCCCCCCACCCCTCTCTGCTCTTGCTCTCTGCTTTACCTTTTGCCTTTCTAATTTCTGCCTACAGTAAAATCTTTGTTATCCAGCATGAGTGGGGAATGCCAGGTGCTGGTAATATAAAAATGCCAGTTATCTAAAAATACTGGAGCCACTGGGGGGATGGTGCAGGGTGGAGCTTGCAAATGGTGTGGGTTGCATGAAGCTTGCACATGGCGGCGGTGCAGGCCGGTTGATGGTGGTAGCATGGTGGAAGTGTGGGGTGGTTGCACGTGGCGGCACAGAGTGGTGGATGGCAGTGGCACAGCAGCAGCGGCACAGTGCCAGTTAATAGGGTATGCTAGAAAACAGGGATTTTACTGTACTTACATTCTCACTGACATCCTGTCACACTTTTAGCTTCTCCCATTTCTTGGAGTCTCAGAACAGCAGAGACTCCCTATGCCTGAAGAAGGGTGACTGCATCTGAAAGCTTGCTAAGAACTTTTTCCCAACTACTCAGTTGGTCTAATAAAAGATATCACATCTACTCAGAGAACCTTGCCTTCCTATATGCTGCCAAGTGAATGGACTGGGAACCCCAATTTGTCTATTCTTATTCTAGCACATTCATGTCATTTTTCAGATTCCACAGGGGTAGAGATCATAAAACGGGCAGAAAGGCAAGAAGCAAATTTGAAAAGATGTGATAAACTTCCATTTAGCATTACACATTGGGAAAAACAATCTCTCCGTGACAATAATCCTATGAAAGCTCTTTATACGGATGGTAGAACAAGAGGCTGTACTTGAGAATTAAACACACTGCTGAAGAAAAAGGATTTACATCTACTTCTGCAGGGCTGAGACTGGGACAGAACTATGAAATCTAATGACCATGGGACACCATAACATCTCCCGTAGTTTTTCCTTCTGGAGCTGAATGTGTTCGCCGTTCAGGGACCAAATCCTGAAGTTCTTACTCAGGGGACTCACCCACTGACTTTAAAGAAGAACCTTAGCTGAGTTAAATAGAATAAATGCCAACGTCTTACATCTCTGGAGAGGCTTATCTCCTTCCCCTGTCTTTCCTGTGACTTGCCAACAGTAAACTACAAAGTAAGGGTAAAGAGGAATAAAGTTACCATTCTCCTGAGGGGTTTCCCTTTAGGATTGAAACTCATCCTTGTGGAGAAACCTGGCAAAAGGCCAATATATATTTAAGTCCTATTTGGGCATTACTTTGAGCGCTTAGGTAGGACTTGGTGCTTGGCCCACTGACCCTCTGCACAGGAATAAATACCCACTTGTGTGTGTATAACTCCCAGTCTGAATTCTACTGTAGAATATTGTTGGGTGAAGTGTTTGACTCTCTCTCTTAGCTATCAATCTACAAACTTGCTAACACGTGACACATGCAATCAAAATGTGGAGGAAATGTCTGAAGTGTGAATCTCGGGTTTTATGGTGCCTTGTTCCATAACTCACAGAATATAATTTTTGTGTTATTTTTTAACATTAAACAAAAATAAAAGAGTTGTCACCATCTGAATTGAATAGATCAAAACTGAAAGAAATGAAATTCCAGCATGTGCACCTCTACAGAACCATATAGGGCTATTCATAGGGTTTGAACCATGTGGCCCCTAACACAGGCCATTGCTGCTTGAGGTAAAGTAGTAATGATTATCTTCTATGTGAACGAGACAATAGAGGAGGGCATGACACACAGGTTTTGGGTAGAAAGTACTGGAAAAATCAAGAAATGGAGTTCTCTTCTAGGTCTGGGGGGATTAGTGTGAATCAGGGGTTATGCTGGCACTTACTGAGAGGACAGCCATGCACACGGATCTTGCATAGTCATCCTGAAAGGACAGATGACTGAGCAGTTGAGACTTGAGTATATCACATTAGAAATCCAGGTCTCTCGCTCTCTATCTCCCTTCTTTCTACCTTTGTCCTTTGTGTCCTGGAGAGCTATGCTGCCTGGGTTTTGTTAGACTGTTGGAGCTTTCGGATGTTTTATGGCAACATTCCTAAAGCTTACCTGATGGTAAAACGTCTTATTAAATCCAGCTGTGAACTTCATGGGAATAATAGCAATCCCTTTCTTTTTCCAGTAATTTTGCTTGTTGAATTCTTCCGCTGCTGTTTTCCTGCTGTAGTATTCAGACTTCTCCAAACATTCTGTCCAACATTTCCTCAGGTTTGTTGCATCAAACTGCTCTTTGAAAGGAGTTACATTAACTCCTTCATACATGTTCATGTCCCGAACCTGGAAAAGGAGTCAAATAAGAAGATCCTAATTATCTATCTAGCGCAAAGATTTTCATAGCATATTACTGATTCCCCGGTCTGAAAAACTCACAATGAAAGGACCTGATTCTGTCAGCTACATCAAGCAGTACACATTTCCCTGTGTGGCACTATTCAAATGAATAAGTATTATTCAGTATGAAGAAAGCCTTGCTTCTTGGACGTTGCAGTGGGGCTACCACATTTATTTAAATCCAACATTAGGATTTTTTCCCCATATTCAACATGGGGAAAAAAAGCCCCTCATCTTGGATTCAAGCACAAGGAGAGGGGCTTGGGGCCAGAGTCAGAGCCGCAGCAGCTGCCTGCCCCTCCTTTGCCAGTCCCCTCCTACCTCTGCCCCCTCTGCCTATCCCCATAGCCTCTGGCCCCCTGATGCCTTCTTCCCTCCACCTGCCCCACGCTGCTTATTGTCATTTGTGGCTCTGGGCATGGAGCACATGGTAGTTCTGACCCCAGCCTGGCCATACAGCAACAGTGGTGGTGGCAGCAGCTCCAGCATCCCAGGGCCAGAGCTGCTGTGGCTGCAACTACTGCTGCATAGCTGGGCCATGGCCAGAGCTACCCTGCGCTCTGTGTCCCAGGGTGGAATGGGGCTGGAGCCGTGACTGATGGTAAGCAGCTGTGGGGCAAAGGTTGTGGGGGGGAGGGCAGGCAGCAGATGGGGCAGAAGCTTCAGGGAAAACATGGGGGCAGGTGGGGGACTTGGTGGCAGCAGGCACAGACATCATGGGGAGGGGGACAGGCAGCAGGGGTTGCAGACATCATGTGGGGGGGCGGCACCAGGGCAAATAAGTGATGGGGACAGGAGACAAGGGGTAGGGATCAGGCTGCTTGCCCCTCAACTGTTGCATTCCCTACTGTAGCACTGGGGGGATGGATTTAAAAGACAACCCTACAATAGTTAGATTCTACACATGGAAATTTATAGCAAACTTATAAACTGTCCATGTATAGAATCGAATTATTGGGGAGGTCATCTTAAATTTGAAGTTATCTTGGATTTGGGTAAATATAGTAGTTCAAGAATAAGCTGCATGAGCAAAGGTGGTAGGATCTGGCTCTATATGAACCTATTACAGTATAAAAAGCTTGATAAAGATTAGGTCAGCGTCTCTTTTCCCCATGGATTTGGCCATTTACTTCAGTGAGAGCAAGGCCTCTATTTTGACTCATTTTATTTGTTAACTTCAACCTCTTTACCTTCTCGGGTGGTAAACCAGTTTGGGTTGCCACGGCTGTAACCCAGGTTTCTGCAAACAGTCCTGACTGTGGGAAGCCAAATCCCCGGAAGGCAGTATTTGAGGGCAAATGTGTTTTGCAGGCGCGGCCTCTGACTCGGAAATTGGGGATTTTGTAAGCATTATCCATTTTTAATACAATAAACTCTATTACCTGTAGCAAGAAAGAAAATTCCTGTTAAAACAGCTTTTTTTCCTTTTGAATGAGCATCATCCTGCTCTAAGCCAGGCAGTTATCTAATCAACATGGGCATGCTCCATTGCAATCGTAAATATGAAATTTGTAAGCCCTTATGATGGGCAGCAGACAACCTCCTCGGTTGTCCCTCAAAACAAAGATCCATGTCACAGATATATATCTGTTGCAGACCGTGAAGGGTCCCTAGCTAGAGTAGATTCACTACGTACTAAAAACAATTAAATAATGATTATTATTATTGATTATTGATTATTATATGATTAAATAATTATGTCACGTTGAAGCAATTGTTTAAGTTATACTTTGCATGGAAAGTAGCTGATTTTTTCCCCTAGTCCTGAAGTAGAACAGCTGAGGCTTGAAAGTTGTCTTCTATCTCTCCCAACTATACTAGTCCAATTAAAAACATTACCTCTTCTGACAAATTCTGCTTCAGTGAAGTGACCACCTGTTTGGAAAGACGTACCATTTCAGACTCGTCTGGTGTACACCCAGCATTAATGTAGGCCTGAATGTCTGCAGCCACGATTCTACCGTCATTCATGAATCCTACCTGTAACACAAGAGCCAACACTTTTTGTAATCTTTCCAGACATTTATGACAACTTGCTCTTTGTAACCAAGCCAAACAGCATGTACAAGTTAAACAAGAGACTCAGACTCCTGAACTTTATGAGTCCTGCTCCTGCACCAACCAAAGTCTATTGGAGTTTTGCTATTGATTTTGATAGCCAAAGAGAGGAGGCCTCATATGAATTTAAATGAACGGCCCACTCTCTACAGGGTGAGGTAACTGTGGAGCTGCAAGGGCAGAATTTGGATTCAGACTGTACATTATTAGAAGATCTCTGCTATCCCAAGCACCTCTGGTACTATTCTTTTATATGCACATTAACTATGGTTTATTCACTGGAAAGTTGTCCATTGTTCTTTTCTTGCATGAAACAGCAAGGCAAGCTTATGCTATCTAATTGCCCACAATGCAAAGATTTCCACCTGTTTTAACCCAGACTAGACCTGAGTAGGGAGATGCTGGCCAAAAGGGAAAACTGGATCCACAATCAAGACTCTTTACTACTCAGGTCACGTCTGGATCCATTCATCTTACATTTTTCTTGAATATGCACTAGCTCACCAGATGCTCTCTGCTTAATTGGTAAGAGTTATTTTCCCTTTGCTGGCGCTATTTTTCCATTCTGTCAGCTGGTGAAATAGGTGGATAGTAGGCCTGTGCAAAGCGGCTAGTATTTGTTTTGGATTCATATTTTGGCAATTTGGGGGACAGCGATTCGATTCGTCGATTCAAATCTCTGTCCTGAATCAATTCGGCCGAATCTCTGAATCGAACAGGCCCCGCCCCTTGCCTGCTCTCCCAGCCACATTAGTGGCTGCTCTGCCCGGCACCAGCATCCTGGCACTAAAAACAA